GAAGTCGATAAAGATTGATCTCAAAATTTACTGAAAGAAGGTGATTTTTTGTATTCTTATTTATATAATTTTTAGAATCCATACCCTTTTAGCCTTTGTCAATACCCAGCTTTTTATTTCCAAGATCTGCAAAAATAACCAAACACGAAAATTAATAAGAAGGGATTGTCATTACCATTCGAATTGTATTACCGTTTTAATGAAATTCAACATTTAATTTTTAATATTGTTAGTCCAAGGCAGCTGGAATTTTGACTGCTATGACTTTATTTTCTTATTTTTCTATAAGTTACACAAAATGTTATAATATAATGTGAATATAAAACAAACAAATATAACGGATCTAGTAAATCTCAAATCACAAAAAATATCATGAATTATAAATCATATGGTATCTAATAATACAAATAATTATGAAATCCTTAAAAAAATATTACATAAATAAATATATATATCGTAAGTGTACACTTAATACCTTAGAATAACTTCAAGTGTAGGTTGTTGTAATTTATTATTGTTATCAAATTTAACCAGATCTTTAATGTGTATTTTTAGTAGGATAATTTAAATACGTTGTATTAAATAACACCATTATTTCTTCCTAACCAGCTCAAGTTTGTATAGAACAGGGTGGGCAATTACCTGCCAGGATACAGCATAGTCCAAAGCTGCAATTCGAGGCCACGTAAAAAGTCAAATTCCACATGTGCTGACATCGCTGTGGTTATATCTCCAGCTGTCCCGACTTTGTGTCCTAGCTGTGCATTAAATGCCACTCAGCCAGCCGGCTTTAGTTTCACTCATTTTCCACGGCTTGGTTATGTGACGGGGGGCGGGGCCTTTGGCCGGAAAAGGGGGCGGGGAAATGGAGCTGCATACTTTTTCAGCAGTGCGCTCCACTTGGCGTGCGGCATGCCACAACTCTCTGAATCTGGATGGCAATGCAACGGAGCGGCGACGATGATGATGATGATGCCACAGTGTTGCGTCATGTAAAAGATAAACAAGTCGACATTTTGACAACCTAAAAAAAGGAAGAAAACATAAAATACAGAGCGGAATGAAAGAAGACAGCAACAGAAAAACAAGATGGAACAATGGACGATGATGGCGTCGCGAGGACTCCATGAAAGTCGCCCATCAAATAATCGAAATCAACTTTCAACTTCCAACTTTGGGTCCTGCAATTTATATGCAAATTTCATTAAGGAAAATGCGGATGTTTGGGGGTTAAAATATCCGCTAGTGCTGGCATCCGCCGCCAGCTTTTCTTCCCCGCGAAAGTAATTGAAACGAGAAATATGCATTTGACCAGAACTCTCCCCCTCCAAACACCGCCCCCAAACTTCTTTGGCGCGACTCAGCTAATGTAATTTAAAATGGACGAGTGGCAAATTACTCGGCCACTGCGGACATTCCACAATCCCCCAAACCGCCAAAAACCCGGCGACTATAAAGCCAAAGCGCAAAAAAAAACACGCAAATTACCCCGACGCAAATCCCTTAAAAAAATTGTTCAAAATAAATTTTGTGGCCGCTGCGTAAATTTGCTTTTTTTCTTCCCGGCTAGGATTGGCTTGGATTATTTTGTAATTCAAATTTATTTCGGAATAATGGTTAATTGGGTGGTCGCCTACGATCTGGGATGGCAAAGGATCGAGGTTGATTAGTGGACATTGGATAAGGAATGTAAAAAAATATTTAAGGGTTAACTTTTGAAAAAAAAATTTAGGTTGCAAGTAGTAACTTTTAAGAAGTTGTGGTTAGTTGTGAGTTCGGTGAAAAGTATAAATCACTTCAAAAGTGCATACAATTATATTTTTTAACGACTTACAAATATCCATAACCAAACAAACATTAAAAAAAAATATATTAAATAAAATATTTTACTTTTTTGTTAATTTCAAATTATTTAAAAAATTAAGATTTAATTACAATATTTGTTATAAAGTTTAAATTTGTTGTTTTATGTTCATAGAAAACCTTCTAAAAATAGAAATAAATACTTACCACAGGCTATTCCGTATTTTATTTTCGACATTTGAAGTGACTGTGGAAAAAATTTAACATTTTCAATGGGAAAAATTTTACAGCCGTTGAAGTATATATCATTAAATCAATAGAAAAATGGGCTTACCATTGTGGGCCAATTTTATGTTGTACTTCAACCGAATATCTCAATTAGTTCTTCCTCTGAAAATATCTCTTGCTCTGTTTGATTTTATCTCTCGAAATTAACATTTATTTATTTCTGAAGCACACTCAGCTCTGCAACTTTGAATCACATTTTGTGTTTGTGCAGCCAACTTTCCCAACTTTTTCAGAAAGTGTTGCTTCTATCTGAATCCGACTGCCCCGATATAATTGCAGATTACAAGCCACCCCGTTTCGATGGAAACATGGCAACTTTTGTAGCCTAGCAATCTTGCTTTCCTTCACCATTTCCCGCCCGGCTTTGATGGTCTCATTTTCCAGCCCCAGCCTCTCCAATCGTAGCAAACTTTTTGTGTGCGTTTTTCTCGTGTTTAATGTTTTATGACGTACTCCAAAACTCAGAAAAAAATAACGAAAAATGTGAAAAATATGTATGGCTGAAAAGAACACTTCAATTTTTGTTTAAATGCCAATAAAACTGTCATCAAAAAGTTGTTAAGTAATGAAACATTGGAAATAAATTTTGTGCACCGACTGCGGGAAGTCTCTTTTCGCCTCCTGCAGTCTCGGTGTTTTTTCTTTTTCACTTGTTTCCATAACCATCGAAGCAAACTTTTGCCTCTGGCAATTGTTCAAGAATTAATAGCCGAAATGCTGCATTCTGTGGGGAGGGGCACTTACAATTTAAGTTGCTGCCACCCACCCACCACATTGTTGCACATTTACTTTTTGCAGCATATCAAGTCGAGCGCACAAGTTTTCAATATTTTTTCCCCATCCACCTACACGCACAGAGAAAAAATTTAAATGTAATACAATCCATTTTTTTATCTTATAAATGTATAGATTTAAAGTATAATTCTTAATTTGTATTATAATATAACATAAGAGTTGTCCTGCATTACGCTTTAATAGTTTTTAATAAATATTTAAAGATATTACTGACGTAATACTTTTTAATTAAATATATGGAACCTGAAACGACAATATGGTCTTGATAATTTAAAGTTAGTGTAAAAAAGCATAGACATTGTATTTATATATTACATCTTATATACATTTTTCCGTTTATTTATATTATTCAACAACCAATATTGATATAGTTCGCCTACGTGTTATTATACAAAATATAGATTTAGCATGTTTAAAAAGTCATCTGATGTTATCACTCCCAATAGGTTACCGAATCGATTACCATATTTTTTCCCACTGCATTGATATTTTTATATTCTTGGTTCAGTTATTTTTAAATTCTTTTTTTTTTTGTGAGTTGAACGTTTTCTTTACGTTCCATTATTGTTGTTAAAAAAGTTTTGGCCGCTCATAATTCCCGATTGCTCTTTTGTTCAATTGTAAATCTGCGGGGGTTGGTGGGTTGGGGGTGGTTGGGTGGTAGCCAGCAGCCCGAGTCCGCAGTTGTTTTACGCAACATTTACTGCGGCATTGGACTCATCATCGGTGGGGGAGGGGAGTGGGGAAGGGGGATGGGGGGCGAACGTGTGCACCCACATCACTGGAGCTCGGACTTGAACTCTCTCGTGTACTTTGGTCTCAAACGTCTGTTTTACGCTAATTGGAAAAGTTGCAAGTTTTTTGCCCGCTTTTTAGAGGGGCTAAAATGATAGGCCCGTGCGGTGTGTGGTTTTTATTGAAGGCAAATTGCTTAGAGCGATGCTTATTAGCAGCTGACACGGTTGCCTCATCATCAAAGTTGCGGCCTAAACTGCGAGCAGCTAAAAAATACGTACATATATAAAATAATCACAAGACAAACGACCAAACGACTTTCATACTTTTAAATTGGCCATTAACCTGCTTCGCTGAGAATCTCGGCAACGCCCCTTCAGGATCAGCTTAGGCTTAAGTCCCTGCATCCTGCTCTTTATTTGTAATTATAATAAACAAAAATGACTTTATATTTTGAAGGATGTTTCTGCATCCGCTGTTTGCGCGCGCCATAATCATAAAGAGCTGTTCACTAATGCGGCGTTTATGCGGCGGTTAAGATTGCGTATGGAAAAATATTGAGAGCTTTCTTTCTTAATTCTTTACATTTTGGAACAATTGATTATATAAAAATAAAGAAGACTCATTTCAAAATTTGATAATGATTTAAATCAACCGAAATGAAAGCCTTACATTTCTAAAGCAGGATTAAAGAAAGTTTAACTTTAAACCTTTAGAGGAGCACTAATTATAAATTCCATATTAACAAGTTAATAAATGTTCCCAGAACCCACTGGTACCCTCTTTGTGTAACCATTTTTAAAAAAATGTTATAGAGGTTACCATATTAATATTAAATGAAAGGTTAGACTTACACGCAGATCAACATGGATTACAGCAACAAATATTTTAGATGAAGCTAAAAACAAGTTTTGGGAGATTTTAATCTTTCACTTAAAACGATATTTTAATTGTTAAGCTAAAACCCTTATTCGTCCTTTACGACTTTTCAGCTTACAAGCTACTTCAAACTTAACTTTAAGATAAGCAGATAAGACCGTTAAGGAATATACGAAGATATGCCCAATCCGTGAAAAAAAAATAGGGAAATTTCTCTCGAAATCATTATCTCGAAATATGCTGCCGTATAAACCGAAATTCAATAAGTACCACGAGAGTCCTTCGCTTGTTATGTCTGATAACTCTGCCTTCCAGGCTCTATTGCAAAGGCGCCTGCGCGGTGAGAGGAAATAGTGGGATATATTGTTGGGAGAGAACAGAAACAAGAACAAAAACACGAGCATATCCCCAAATCGGAGCGATACATGTCCGTTCTAACTGGCAAATGGTCTATGCAGCGACGGCGGCAGCAGGTTAGTTCAGTCTCCTGCCATAAATGGCCGCGTGCGGCAGACAAAAGCGCATGAAAAATTCATTGGGATTCGTCGGAACCGAAAGTTTAACGTCAGGACATCGCCAACAACAACAAGGACCACTTTAGCATATAGCATACAGAGCGACTGCTAGTCCTAAACGTCTATCGTTAGGTGTAACGAGGTGTGTGCCCCTGCGTGTGTGTGTGTGTGAGAGTGTGTGCGAAGGCTTTGTGACTGTTTCGGTGGCGTTGTTAAAAAAACACAACAAAAATTGAATGGCAAATTGAAAGTGGTTGACAGGCAACTGGAAAAACAACAGCAATGGCAATAATGTCGAGTGTCCTTTCGGCCAAGGCAAAGTGAAAGCAATACTCATCAGAAAAATAGAGAAAATACACAAAAGCGTCAAAAACAACTCGCAATTGCCAAAAGTGTATTATTTTTCCATTGATTTCGAGGCAAATAAACTGCGCAACAATTTCGAAAATATATTGAAGTAGGTTAGGACTGTTGTGGAGTGGGTGTCGCAGGACATCAAACGTTTAAATAAAAATTAGTTGGGCATGTGTTCTAATAAATTGGATATTCCTTTCATGCCATTTCGTTCACCTACACGTCGCCCCATCTCCTTCATTGTTGAATTTCCAACAACTTTTTGGCATGTGGCATACTTTTGGGGATTCGTTGAAATTAATTTCCGAAGTTTTTTGCTGAACATCGGAACAGTATTTTCCTTTTTTTGCTGTATTGGCAGCGAGTTCATTTTCCAGGCACTGATTTTGGCCCTGACCACGTTTGGTTAATTAAGCTGAAGTCGCCGAAGTGCGATTTGAAGCCAGCTTGATTAAAACAGGGTATATGACACCGTCAAGGCTTGGGGGAAGTTAAATGGGAAAACTTTAATTGCCAGTAAGGGTCGAGGAAACTTTTTCAACCTGATGAACAAAAAAGTTATTGTAAATTTAATACAGATTAGCTTTCTTTAAACTAATTCTGTTAAATTTTGTAGATAAATTTATTGTTTAATTCATGCATTTTATGGCAATTCATGGCCACAGATTAAAAATTTGTAACTTTTAACTAACTTCTTTTTGTTTTATCAATACCGAAATTCTAATTAATAATTTATTAGTTTAGTTTAATATTTTATTTTATTTAAGTTATGGGAAAAACAAATTGGTTCTAGGGCACAAAAGTTTTCCTAACTATCTCCACACATTAAAAATTTATTTCCCAACAGCAAAACATTGTTATACTTTATTCCATATTTATTGTATTCTAACGCTTCAAATGCAAACATACATTTATTATTGTAAATCCTTAATGGCTTAGTATTTTTGTACTCAAACTCACCCTTAAAAAAATCAATCAAATCCGAAGCTAAAATCATGCAAATGATAACTTGGTTTGTGCTTCTGCTTGCCAAAACTTTAAAATTCCCTTACCAATTTTTGAGTGTCCCATTTTATTACGATTTTAATGTCGATTCTTTTTGCCAATAATTGCTCATTAAAATGTAATGAAAATTTATTATCTATATTTTATTGTGTAGATATTAATGCCATCCTATAGGACACTAACAAATTCTACTCTTAAATTTATACTTCTCTAGTTATGTAAGAAAAACCATTTGTTGAAAAAACTTAAACTCAGGGTAAATGCGGAATGCGAACTTGCCACTTTTCTCGGAAATGTAAGTCTTGCTCAAGGCTAGCATTTAAAACAAAATTCTTAGGGACGATTTATCAATGTCATGTAATGGTTATAGTTCCTAATTGCTGGGCAACACTAATCCACTTTCTCAATGCGATGCTAATGTTCGAACGGGAATTCATTACAAGGTTTGATGTCATACAAGTCGAAAATAAATGTTGACTATCAAGCCTGAAAAGGAGAAGTGGGTGAATTTTCCTTCGTAATTTTCGTCAACCAACGTATTTTTACTAGAACTTTGCCTCTAGGTAATAGTTCTAAGTTAGATACATATATTTCAACATTATATTTAGGACGTACATGTTTCCAAAACAGCATTTCAACTTAATATTAAAAATGAACATGACAAGTTTTAAGTTTCATTTTGCTTATCGATACTCCAAAAATATTAACAATTTTATTTTTTTTTACTTTACTAATTACTAAAATACAGTACAGTATAAACAATGTAATATAAAGATACAATATTTCGCTTTAATTGAGAACGAGACAATTTTACACTGCATGTTTTTACATTGAGTTAAATTGCTGTTTTGAATTCCTTTCATATCTCAATGCACGGTTAGAGTTTATTCGGCTGGAAACTCTTAGCTTCGTGTATAAATAGACCATGTATTACATTGAGACAGCGAATTTGTGTTCCCGAGCATTTTGACTTCCTGTTACCTTTTTCTCACAAATGACAAACTTTAACCATGGCATTGATAGATCGATTTTGATCCGTATAATAATTACCTGAAGTAATGAAGGGATTAAGTCTACTAAATAAGATTAAACGAAAAGCACCGTTGGTAGGATAAGTATAAAAATTAGTATATATTTCACTAATTCGATTGTCAAGCTTTAGTTCACAAAGCAAGGCTAGCAAAGAAATCATCCGCCTGAGATCGTAATTCTTATTTTATTGCTCATCGAAATTCTAAATGGCCCTAATTAATTAGAGATTTGATTAGCACATAAAATGTCACCATTTTAGGATATTTCATTTTACCGAACCGAATAGCGAACCATTTTACAAATTTATGACCACCGAGAAGTAGGCAATGTCGATGAAATTTTAATGAAATTAGACCGGCAACCGATTTCCGCAATTTTCAATTGTAAAACGCCTATTCAGGGGCAATTCAAGGAGTGGGCAAGTTTACGGCATTTTAATCATTTCAAAACGCTCTTGCTCTTTTCAGTCAACATGCAAATTGCCTGCCCCGGCCCCGTGCCCCGCACCCGTACTCGCAGTAGTCGCAGCCAGGACCAGAATCCGACATCCCCATCATCATCATCGCAGGCGGTGGAAGTGGAACGCACCGTAGAGCCAGCAGGAGCGCAATAAAGATTGCCTATAAATGGGCGGAAGTGCCAGGGGCGTGGGGTGGCCGAGGGGGGAGGCTGAGGTGCAGGATGTACTACGCACAAGGACGTTGAGGGGGGCCGGCAAACAGCAACAGCAACAGCTAGAGCAACAGCAGCACAACAAAGCCAAACTTCCGCATAGGATGCGCCCGAACGGAAGTTATTTCGGCCGCCTGAACGTGAGCGCACTGCTCATCTACTTGTGGTGCTATCTGCTCCTGATAATGGCAGCATCTGGCGGCAGCAGCAACGTGGTGAACGGGCTCAAATGCTACTGCAATCCGAAGGAGTGCGACGTTATCCGCTCGCCCGACTGCCCCGGAAAAGGACTTATGCTCTGGGATCCCTGCAAGTAAGTCGCCGTTCCCTGCACTCAAATTAAACAGATAATTTCTGGCCAGCGAATGGGGCTGCCCGCGTGAATATATCATCGATTTTATTGTCAAGCTAAGCGGAGAAATTGATATCAGGCATTATTTCTGCGGTTTTATGTAATTCCTTGCAAGCATTTAGCTAATTTTCCATTTTCCAAACCGTTCTTTAGTCAAATCAATTTTATTTCATTTGCTTTCGAAAAATTTGTTTTATTTTTCCCAACTATAAAAGTGTAAAAACTTACGTTTGTTACAATAGGAAACCCCAATATAGAAAATACTAATGGTATTATTATTTTATTTGCATGATTAACTAAATTAAAGTTTTATATGGTACTTTATCCATTTGTTGGAGTATAATGTGCGGAAACTCTCACGACTATCAATATTTTTATTACCAAAATAAATTGCTGAATTTTAATCTGGTTTTAAAATGCAAAGGTTAGGATGTTTGTATAATTAGCAAACGAATTCTACATTTATTAACGTTGGTGGCTTAATGGTTGCCGAAACATTAGAGAAAATTTAATTGTGCATAAAGCTTTGCTTATTACTTTTGCCATTATCAAAAATATTGTTATGTTGAAATGCTTTCCACACGAAAAAAAGCATAAAATTAAAACTTTGTGGTTTTATTGATACAACTTATTATTTATAATTAAATACATTTTATAAATAACTAATTTAAATTAAAAGTCAATTGGCTACAAGAAGCTCAAAGTGAAACATTTTAATAAAATTTCAAAATAGTTTTAATTACAACTCCCTCACTATTGCTACTCATACGTTCTTTTTAAGTATTTATTATTATTACTTATAAGAATTATAGGTTTTAATATAATTTCACGTATTCAAATCAAATTAATAGCGTTTAACTGTAAATAGTTATCAGTGCTGTGATGTGATCAAAATAAAAGAAAAGGTCAAAAATGCGTAACCACACTACGACCTCAATAATTGGCAATGATATAATTAAGGGAGTCAGGCATCAGAGTGACTCATCTAAATTCCAATCCAATTTGCATCGTGAGTCACGTACTGCTTAGGAATTCACAGCAGGCACTCAAAACGCCCCCACATCACAATACAGAGTGTTAACTAATTGTTAACGCTTATCGAATCCAAGACGGTATCGAATCAATTACTACTGGGATTGATCCATCTCTGTTGCATGGATTACGCTTCATATATTAATGTCATATACGTCCAACTATTCGCAGATGTTGTCGCATATGCGCCAAAACTTTGGGCGAGTCCTGCGGCGGACCGGGCGGATTTTCCGGTCAATGTGAGCCGCCCCTGCAGTGTGTGACCAAGCTGCCCATTAGCAGCGGATTGGGCGTATGCATGGGTAAGTCGATAGATATGTGTATCTACTATATACACGGAGAAAAATAAATACAAGTTTAATATTTGAAATATGGCGGAAAATGTTTTGCAGGGGAGGCCTCTTAAAATTCAACTAGAAATGTTCTTAGTCCATTTTTCTGTCACATATTTTGTTGGTTTATTTTGTTATCTTAAATAATCTTATCTTAATAAGAATCAAGTTATCTTAAAATAGTTCTTAAAATGTTTGTAGTCAATTTTTCTGTACGATTTTTTATTGATTTTTCTATTGTAGTATGACAATTTAATTTACATTTTTTTTTGTTGGTGAATCTGCCAATCTTTGTATTCTTAAAAGAGATTCTTAGTTAGTTCGGTTTTAACCATTAAATTACAATTCAATTTTATATAATCAATGAAGTATTCTTTACATAATTATTCTTCTGCTAAATGTTTTGTTGCAATCTATAAAGCATATTTTTAGACACAAAACAAAAAGAGATTTCATATCATGCTACAAATATTGTTTTTCGTTTATTTATATATATTTTAAAGTGCTTATCATGACATCTTTTGTTTTTTGTTTATATAAATATTTTTAAACAGTAGAAATCCTTGAGATTTGGTAAAGTCTATATCGGTAATGCATAATTAATTTTTTCCTGTGTAAACACATTAAAAAGAAGGAGAGATAGAGACCAGCGAGCGGGTTATGGTTATGGAGCACTCGTATTTAGTCGCATCCATTATGCATTAACATCACGTATTATAGACCACAGAGCCCTCGATGGATACGTTTGCAACCAGTTCGGAGCGCTTCAGCAATTTGATTCGCACTTGCCATTTGGCCTGCGGAACTCCTGGCGGGAATTCGTCCGATTTGAATGTATAGTTGCGGATCTCGAACAGTTTTCCCTGCATAATTTGATGGCATCAATTCGGTTTTTGCGTGTAATTGTGTTTGGGGAATTAATATGTTCCGGCCGTGCGGCAATTTGCAATGAAAATGGGAAATGAAAATGAAATAACGGCAGAATGTTGTTCAAATTTAACTAGTTTTGCTCGTCGAGAGTGCCACAACACGAAATGTTGACAAATATTTGCTTTTATTTATTGAAAGTTGTTTCCCAAAGGAAAATATTTGTCTTCATCATGCTGGGCAGGGCAAAGTTTCAAAATCGAGCTACTAGCTAAAAAGCAAACGGAAATTCTATTTCATTAAATTGCTTTCTCCGTTTGTTGTCATCGAAACATATTTATATTTTCTCAGTTTTGATAAGTTTGGTTAACTTCAATAAAACGAATTTTGAAGTCGAACTTCTCTAACTAACATGAAGACTATTAAATTTTAATGGAAAGCCAAATTATTTTCTGTGCCCTTTTCTATTAGGGATTTGAAACCAGTTATTAACTTGTCTAAAAGTATGAAAATATTTGTATTTACTTGTTTCTTTGGCAGCTATCCGATTTTTAAAAATAAAACCGAATTTCAGAAATGGCTATAAAATACTATTTTTTGGGGATAGGGCTAGTTTGCGTAGAGCAGGTGATGCTGATCAATAATATATATATATTTTATAGGGTTGGAAACTTCCCCTTTATTGCGTAGCAAACTTTTGACTGAAATTATAATACACTCTTCATGAGTATGAAAATTAAAATAGTCTTTTGAAACTAAAAGTCTCAAAATTATATGAAAACGTTTAGGTTTTTATACTTTGCGTTTTACTGGATTTAAGACAGAAGATTTTGGAAAAAAGCGTTTTAGGCTCTAAACTTAATAATAAAATTTTCCACAAATTTAAAGTGTGAGAGTGTGGCTATTTATTACCCCTTATTAGTCACTGATTGCAAGAAGAATTTTCAATATAAAATGGATTATATTATATGGATTATTTTCCAATGCAAATAGGTTCTTATTAGCACTATAATTAAAATCACTAAAAATTAAAAATTTTACTTTAATTGATATGAAAATAATTTATAAAAAGATCGTTTTAAACTTGTAATAACAAATAAATTAAAAAAAAAATTTAATGTAATTTTTTTGAAAAATCTGACAAACTTAGTAAGAAAAGATCGTGTGCAGTTAATTAGGAAGCTTGGTAATATTTAACTCACCTTCAACACAGGACAATTACCTGGCAAGTTACTGACAGTCTTTAGTCTTCTGAACAGTTTGCCAATAATATTGTTTTGGTACATCGAGCCTAAGTACTTGCACCCATCCATCTTGATATCGGCCACGTTTAAGCGGCTTTTATCTTTTTTGAGTAAATCAAATGTGGCATGAATGTCGAAGTAATCGATGGTTTGATTCAAAATAAATCTGGCCGATACCATGGGAATCCGTTTTCGTAGAAGTTGGCAATCCAATTCATTGACGTATTTCTTGGTTGCAATATCGCAGCCCAGATTTGAGATGACAATGTCATAGTTGCTCTACCAGGGAAATTAAATTACAAATTATTGTTTGAGGCTAAATTAACCAACCTTTGCGAATCCGAGTTGCAGAGGAAGAAATATAGCCAAAAACGAAAATCGGATAAACATTATGCAAAACTAAACACGAAAATGCAAATGCGGTCGGCTTATATTGGGTCGACTAATTTAAAATAAATGTCACCATAATCTCTTTTAATGCGCTTAAAATCAAAGTTCATTTTAGGGCTTAATGAACATTTAATATGAGAATTAATGCGCACCAACAGTTTTTCTCTTCTCATCGCTTTGGTGTTAATAACTTTATTTGTTTTGCTTGTGCTCTAAATAGATTTGCAGCACCTGACCGCCCTGACCTACAGTCAGCACGATAATTGTTCCGACAGCGATTCGATTGTTTTGCAGCCGGGCTGCGAGATCACAAACAAACGCTGCCAGTGCTGGCCCACAATGCGCACCTGTCTCAGCGAACTGACCAGCGATGGGGGATCCCCCGGCGACTCCCGTTGGCACTTTAAGAACCTGGAGGTGGGTGCATGCCTCACTCCCTGATTTCCCCTACTCATTTCTTTCCACTCTGCTGCAGGACTGCCAGTTGAACTTGCAAAATCTAATTAAACTCGAACTGGAATTCGATGAAGACTACAAAATCTCACCGAGCAAATTCACATACAAAAAGCTTCGCAGAAAGCGAAAATCGTTAAGAAAACGCATGTGAGTATTGAAAAATTTCAATCGATAAGAATATTTTTTAAATTAAGTCATAACATTTAATATCCAGTTGGAGGATATAAAATATTCAGGGGCAAAGTGTGGACTCAGTTAATTTAAGCGTATCTCTTAGCTTAAATTAAATTTTGAAACTTTTGTTAAGTTTTAACTTTGTTGAAGAACCCTACAAACTTGTTAACAATTTTAAGAACAAGCAATTGACGTGTAATTTTCGTATTTTCTTTGTATATGATTTAAAAACATAGTGAACTGTTGATAGCATCGATTTTTTGAATATTTTACAGTCTATAGGTAAAACTCGAGGTTTGTAAATGGTGAAATTTATTAAATTCATTATAAACAAGAAAGGAAAGCTAACTTCGGGCGGAGCCGAAGTTAATATACCCTTGCAGAACACTCTGTAAATTATATTCTCCAAAATTATCCATATGATGCATTCTTAATACTGATAAAAAATCCCAACTTCCTAACTTTAATAACACCAAAGTTATGGCATTTCCAATCGTTCAGTTATATGGCGGCTATAGGATATAGTCGGCCGATCCTTATGAAATTTGATAGGTCGGATAGATTGGCCAAACATAAAACCCATAGGAAATCCCAGCTTCCTAACTTTAGGAAGTTATGGCATTTCCGATTAATCAGTTATATGGCAGCTATAGGATATAGTAGGCCGATCCTTATGAAATTTGGTATGTCGGATTGATTGGCCAAATATAAAACCCATAGGAAATCCCAGCTTCCTAACTTTACTAACACCAAAGTTATGACATTTCCGATTAATCCGTTATATGGTTATATATAGTTATTATATCAGTTAATCAGTTAAAACTGAGAGATTAGTTTGCTTAGAAACAGACAGACGGACAGACGGACAACTCAGGAGGTGTTCCTGATCAAGAATATATATAGTTTATAGGGTCGGAGATGTCTCCTTCACTGCGTTGCACACTTTTGACCAAAATTATAATACCCTCTGCAAGGGTATAAAAATACATGAAGTCAACATAGAGTTCTTTACAAAGAAACATCCCAGCATATGATGAACAGTTAAAAATATATATAAAACAATTTATTTTCAAAAATATATTCTGTGAAAATAAACAAATCTGTTCTCATAGGCCAAAATGCTAAGTTTCATTTATATATATATGACAAAATGTTCAAAATAATTAAATATAATAAACAATTAAGTGTTATTGACGGACTTCCTTCGCTCGGTGAGCTAATCGCTAATCAAAAAAATCAAATAAACTAATAAAATGAATTTAAATTGTTTAAAATTGTTTATAAAATTATATAAGTTTACTTCAAAAAAAAAAATATTATTGATATAAAATTTTACCATGCCTAGAGCATTATTTAATTTATAATATTTTAAAATCAAATCGTTTTTAATATTTAAAAAATCATGGGCTAAAACCTTTTTGAAATTTGTAGTAGTTTTAATTTTAACAACCAAATTAATGGTTTCTTTAAATACTTAGAAAAATGTAAAATATATTGGATTTACTTTTTTAATGAAATTATTCTTTTTCAGAATCATCTTGAAGGATTGAGGCTTTAATGTGCCATTGGGATCATCCTCTTTCTGAACTCTTAACTCAATAAAACCAAATGAAAAATCTTGTACAGATAGTATGCTTACTTCTAACTAATAATATGGCTATTAAAAATAACATATATATAACAACTTATAAATATACAAGAGGAAATATACATATGAGAAATAGACAAAATTTATGTATCCTAAGACATTTGTTACTTTATTGTTTTTAGAGTGCGCGTACGTATGTATAAATTTGCAATTTTTATTCCTACTGCCCCGAAAACAAAATATACAAACAATAAATTGAAAATATTTCAAGAATGTTGTTGCTTTAAAAATAACAAATACAAAGTGTGCAAAATGTTGGAATTTTCCATAGGCATAAGTCAAGCCATTCAATAAACAATAACCCGAATGACAAATTTTGCTAACACGAAACAGCATTGAAAATATATAAGTGGCCAGAAAATAAAGTTGTTTTTCATTTTTATGGGATTATTAGCTATAATTTATATTTTAATTTAGAACGCAACTCACAATTCCGTTAACAGCCAATAAGTGTGTAGCATACTTTTTTGAGCTATGTTACTGAGGCGCAACAAACAACAGTAAATGTATGCAACATGTTAGAAACGTGTAGAATTTGTGTGTAAGAAGCATGTAGAATTCGCTAGTTCAAGTAAAAAACGTTAGATGTCGCATGAAAAAATATGTTAGAGCTCGGTGGTCGGTTTGATTTTATTCCCTAGCTACAAAAATATATATATCTTTATTTAGGATCATCAGCAGAGTCGATCCGATATGTCGGTCTGTCCGTTTCTACTTAAATTTGTCTTTCAGTCTTAAATCTATCTGGATAAAATTTTTAAATTAAGGAAAAAAGAAGTAAACTTTTGTTTACTTTAAAACATTTACGAGTAAAACATAAGACAGTTAGATATATTTTACAAAAGTCGGATAATTAAAAAATAAAATAAATAATACAAATAATTTTTACGTTATTGCTAAAACGTTATTCTTAAAACCGCAAGGGTACTAAAGTTATATTATTTTAATTGCAAGGGTATATTAATATTTTTATTCAATTTTTTAGCTCTTAGTTAATAACTCTTATTGAGATTAATTAATTTGGGAGCATCGAAAGTAAAAAAAATATTCAAAAGTATTTGCAATTTGTTTAAAAAGTTTTTATGTTGGTCTAAAGATTTCACTTTGTACTCACAAAATCACTGACTCACATGCCCTTAGAACAACCAGGCAAATAAAACGGCACTACAAAATCGAAACGAAAACCTCTGCCCCAAAATCGACCATCAACGGCAGTCGAGTGGGGTCAGTTCTTCATCTTCAAAAGATCAAAGATACACTTTGGCGCTTAAGTGTTTTCCCGCCAATCTCCATCCTCATCGCCACCTATCAGCTGAAGGAGTTCGAGATATTTGTTTCGCTTTTCGAATTGAGTTGTTATATTTCTGTGGCTCCGTGCACTCGAGTTCGTTAGGCACCTTAGTGGAGCAAACAAAAGCAATTAGACGGCGTCATCTGACAGCCTGAATGGAATAGTTTTCGGGGCGAATACCGGCGGAATGCCAGAGCGTTTATCGATCGCCCTCTGATGGGATGTCCAACTGCCAATGAGACCGGGCTGAATAAAAATAAGTGAAATAAAACTAAGACGAGGGGGGGCCACTGTGTCCAGGGCGGAGAACAAAAGAGCTCGAGTGCGGAGGAGTGAGGTGTTAAAAATTCTACTCTTTATGCTCCTATTATGATTTGACTCGCTGCTTGTGGACTTTGATGGACATTTACGATACGAAAAATCTCTATGTGTGCACTTAAAAAAAAACTGTAGCTTGGCTTTTTCTAGAAAGTAGCAGCTTTTTGTAAATAAATAAATTTACCTTCCTAAAACCTAAGCCGAGCTTAATTTCGGAAAATCAATTTAAGTGATAAATAAAAATTCTTTTTGTTACTTACAAATGTAAAGTAATCGATTTTTTTAAAGGCTTTAAATAAGTTTTTGTTTAATCAACGAACAAGTCTTAAAAATTAAACAAGCGGTATTAATTCAAGCGGTTTTAATACAAGCGGTTTTAAATTGCGTACAACTTTTATATTTCGCCTATAAAGTCATACGAATGCTTTAAACTTTTTTAGATTGGGATCACAATTTTTTCCAGTATGTGTATGCGTGGAACTTTATATATCTTTTCAGCTTTTGTCTCACTTGTTTGACAACCGATGCGTACAAATCAAAGCAGGAATCCAGAGTTAGGGGCCCCAAGCCCCGACTCGTCTGTTGTTTGATTAATAGCCGCACAATTGATATGTTAAGTGGTAAATTACGCCATTGGCACGCAAATGTATCTTCAAGATACATGCGTTTGTGTGTAGACAAAAACGGGCAAATTGTTGTTTGTTTAAGGCGCCGCTTTGGATGGAGATAAAAATCTCAGAGCTTCGCTATCGAGGCTCTGGAAAGGCGGAGCCTAAAGTGCGTAAAGTGATTTAATTTTGAATGGATGTCGGAGAAAGTTCATCAAACACACTCACGCGCTGGCCGGCATGCAATTATTCAATTATTCGGTTGACTTTTCCCCCCGCTTTCTGGGGAGGAAAAGCTTGGCATTTTACAAGGTTCGATGGCTTAAATTAAAAGCCATTAGTCTACTTTTAACACGCTTTCAGGGAGTCTCTGCTTGTTGTTTTTATGGTCCCGTTTATATGTTTAAATAAAACGAAAAACAAAACCCATCCGAACCAAACCGAACCGAACCGAGGCGAACAAAAAATCCATTAAAGCCTTTTCGTATATTAGAAAAGCGAGACAATGGGGAGGGAGTTCGATTGATGTCATTAAATTTTTGCCACGCCATAAAATTCATCGAATTTTTGTTGTTTTATTGAAAAACCACCGTAGAAGTGTTATAAAAATCATTTAAAAGCCCAGATTGCCGTAGGTTTGATGCTTTTTGTGGTCTCTGTTTTGTTTTTACTGCACGAAGCCTTCGCTCATGCTCAACTAAAATGATTTAATTTCGAAACGTGCCTTGCAAATTTTATGATCAATTTTCGCTTTAAATATAGATTGAATGCCTCGTCGAATTATTTAAATGTGGCTGTGGCTTATTTATTTATTCTGTTCTTTTGTTTTTGCTTTGTTTCGGATATCATGTGACGAAGGTGCTTTATTGGAATGCAAAAATGAAGGAGGGAGCAACTTTTTGATGATCAGCAACTGATTGAAATATTGTAAATTTTATGGATTTGATTTACGATATTTTAATAGAACATTGATTTATGGCGGGTAAAATAAAACGAATGGTTTTTGAGACCAATACGTGACGATTTTTTGATTTTAACTATAACATTTTTAACATATCTTTTAAAGATTTCCTTTTAAGAGTGTGAGCATATATAATAATAAATAAACATACATTTTCATTCCAATTTGCTGTAATTTTAAATTATAATGAGTTGTTATTAGCTCTTTAACGTTTTCTAAAATGAGAAATAATATAAAAATAGTTTAGTAAGCGACTTTACTTAATTAAAAATAAAAATAAAATATATTATAAAGTGTAATATGATGGCTTATATTAAATGTTTCTAACTTTTTATAAATTTAAGCTTAAGCCTTAATATGTAAATGTAAAATGTTACCTACATTACTTAGCCAAAATTAATTGTTAATTTTTTTTTAAGTAAGCATTTGATAAAATTTAAATATTAGATCAATTTTATTGCTCATTAATAGTCCATCTACTGCTCCTCTGAATATCAATCTTCTTTTGCTAATGCGCCTCCGATTCTTCCGATTGTTTTGCTGATGGAGTTGACTTCATTTCCATTTCTATTGAGGCATTGATCTCTCGCTCGGCTCGACTGCCACATAAATAAACTGTGGCAAATTCTCTAAGCCAACTCGCTGAAGGCCCATAAATTATACGGCGAGGACCAACAACTAAGGAGGCCAATGTGGTTGTTGTGTCATTTTCTCGGCGCGCTTAATAAACTACACACACTTTATGCGATCTGTGGTTCCTGTTGTTGTGGCCTGCCGATTGCTGTTATATGATTTCATATATCATCGCAGCCAAGGAGGACCCTCCTCTTCCTCTCCTTCTCTTTTTTTTTCGCAGAGTTCACTGTGTTCAGAATGCGCAGGCGTGCGGCATTTAGTTCAGCCTGTCGACTCTCGATTGTCCCCCCTTTCGCCCCCGATTCCCCATTCCCCATTCCCCACACCCCATATTCCCCAGCATGTTTGTATATACTTTTTGTTTGATAACATTTTATTGTCCGCTTTATAAATTATTGGCGTTTGCCGGGACTCGGGATGGGATCGGAATCGAGTTCGGGTTCGGAATCGGGGCAAAAAGTATCCTTTTACGTTGTGCGTTTTTGGTATGCAACATGTGTCCAAATTTGTGCATCTTACAAATAAATACTATGGAAAAATACTAAGGTTTGGTTCTTGATACCCTGTTAAGGGTTATAAATATTTGCGGTATTGATGTCCTCGAAAATAAAGGTCATGCGAATTGTATTTCCCTTAAAAATATAAAGGTCATTAACTAATTATGTTTATTTTAAAACTCGTATCTTAACGACCTATTTCAAAACCCGCTTATTTAGTAAAATATCTAAGCGATCTATCTATCGATTTTTAAATTAAACTTGAAGGGTATCCAACCGCTCCATTTATAGCTTTCGAAGTCTCGGGAATCCGACTTGATTTTATAATTTTTCTTAGTTTTTTGCACTGCTCCGCCGGCCGGTTGAGTCTGCGCGTGTTTTGGCCTTTTAGGGCGTTTTGGCCCTAAAACAGACAATTGAGTGTAGTGTGAAAGTTGCTTTAAATACTCTCGGTATCGGTATCGAGGCGTTCCGATGCCCCAAAGGCGATGATGCGTCGCGTTCTGGGGGAAGGGGAGGAACCAGTTGGGGCTGCCACCAAATCAAACCATTTATGTCTGGCTCATGCGACACATTTATCATCGTCAAGTTACAAAACTCACCTGCACCTGTCTGCTGCTATGGTAACAAGAAGGGGGTTTTCGGGGGGGAAAATCGGGGGTAAGATCTTTAATTATACATTATACAAGGCACACCCGCTGGGCTGTATGGGGTTCCACTTCTCAAAGTCTTCTAACTGGAGCCCAGTAATGAGCTGGGGCCCTACACTGCTAGCAACTAAATAACTCATGTATTGAGAACAATGAGAAATCTGTCCGGTATCCGTGGCATTTTATAATAGCCTTGGATACAAATTTATAGGGCTGCCAGAGGAGCGAGGCGCATCGATCAATCGAAATGATATAATTATGGGCAAGACTAAAGAGCGGCTCTGTGTAAATTGATATCAACAAATTACGCGAAAATATTTCAAAAATATTAACGAATGTGAATGATATAATGATGAGATGATGGATGTCAGAGGCACTGAAAGAAACTGTGTTG